AGGCAGGAACAGGGTGCAAGAGATTTAGAAAAGGGGCAGGGGGGATAAAAAGTAAATTTTTGTTTAAACCGTAGAGGGTGATTTGGTGACCCGGTAGTGGTTTGGAAGGAGTAGGGGATGGTTTAAAAAGCGAAATTGTATTCGAAACGTAAAGAGTAATTTGGGTGTGCGCGATCTGGGGTTCTTTAAGGGGGGGGGGGATGAAAATGAAATTGTAGTTTATGTGTAAAGGGTATTTTTTTATGGAAGGGGGGATTAATGGTTGGTGTGCACTCTGCTATTTGTGACATTATGATGAACAGAATGTGTAGTAACTAATTGAAGAATTTTATTTCGTAGTAAAAAATGAAGGTGCAAATTCTTATAGCGCCCCTCTGTATTTGCTACACATGTTCACGTCTAAAAAATTACAAGAAACGACAGATACAGATCGGTGTCTAATTCTATACTCTCTCCTTCCATTTCTATCCTACTCTAACTCCCATTCTCACTCTCATTTTCTCCATCTCTCTCTCTCTCTCTCTCTGTCTCTCTCTCTCTCTCTCTCTCTCTCTCTCTCTCTCTCTTTCTTTCTTTCTTTCTTCCTTTCTCTCCCTTTCTGGCCCTCTCCTTTTCATATTTCAGTTCCTTCTACGCTCTCCTCCTCTCACCGTTTAGAATGCAACTTATTGCTCTGGAAGCAGTTTGAGTCAGCTAAACACATAGTTGCTAAATGAACCAGCGGCCCCGGGAGCTTGGGGTATGGGGGATGAGCAATTAGCGAGCGCCTGTTCTCCCCCCGCCTTGTGTTGGGGGGGAAATTCCAGCCAGCTAGCCTGGAACCCGCTCAGGACAATACCGGGCGAATAATAATATGGTGGATGAGTGCAGCACGAGGAAGACAAAGCTGAATCGTCAAGATATCGTCGTGTCAGCAGTTACTAAAAACGACGTGTTTCTCCAGCGCTGTTCTAGATGCAGCATGCAGTTTGAGAACCGCTACTGGGTGGCCTAACAGCTTCCAGTGGAAGCGGAAAAATAGGGCAGTTTATCTCCTGCAGAAAATCTCCCTGCTGTCTGAAACAAATTTGTCCCCGCCTGCCAATAGAAAAATCTCAACTCATCACTTGAGGCGTTAGTTTTTAACGCTGGCTCTCACAGCTCTCTTGTAACTGCCTCCACAAGTTCTTACCCTGCTACCACCAGGGAATCCAGGTTTCCCGCCATTCTCCCTGTGTGCCTGGTGATGTGACGTGCTGCTGATAAGTTTGCGGGGGTCGGGCTCAGCCTGAGGCCAGAGATGATGTTCAATATTTCATCACCTGCGCCAATTTGGCGGCAGCGGACCCGCGCTTGCTGGGGTTTGAGTCTCTGGTAAAGCGATCATCTCCCCGTCTGTCTTGGAGAAGAAACGATCTCGGAGATATCCTCACTGGCGCAGATTACTTTGATGGGGAGGAATGGAACGGGAGTGGGGGAGTCTGAAGAGGAAGAGTGGAGTGGAGGAGGCCGCATGAATACAAGAACGTAGGGAAAACCCTGTTTGTATGAAGTTTTCATCTTCATCGTAAAATGTAGCCTCGTTGTCTTATCATGAGGCATATATATATGCCTATATATATA